TTTCTAACGAAACTTTAATAAAGGTGAAACATGTTAGATTGATAAACGTTTCCAATTTTTCTTTATCTTATGATACTGTCGCTTTCTGATCCATATGTGATCTGTATTTGATCTTTAACACACACATACATAAAAAATATATATATATATATATATATATATATATATATATATATATATATATATATATATATATGGCGCGTTTTTTAACGAATAATAATTACCTATATATATATATATATATAAGGTAACTACACTCGTCTCGGAATGCTAATGGTCAAATCAATCTCGAAGGTTTTAAAAGAAGAAAGAGCTATGAACATGAACATCTGTCGAAAATAATCGTACTGCATACAGGTCCAAAGTCCAAAGAAAAAAACCTCGATACGAGTAATCAACTAACTTAAAAGTGCTCAATAGAGCAGACCTAGTCAAACCTAGAGAGCCAGACAAACCTATCAAGGTTTCACCTAAGCGGATCGTCAGGGAAAGCTGGCTAAAAAGGTAAAGAAAACTGTATACTTATAGGCGATAAACAAAAGACCAATATATATATATATATATATATATATATCGATATTATTTGGTAATCCGTATGGATAATTTCAAACAGTATATAGATCCAGCTCAATGTAAAAACAGACCAAATGATAATTGTTAAGAAAACGAAGACTTTAAAAGTTCATGGTGATATTTTATTTCATTAATACCGCTAATTTGGTTCTATCTCATCAGACCGAATATCATCGCACAAATTAATGGATAAAAATTTGTCCAGGCACAAAAAACAATAATCTAAGCATAAATTATGTAGATTCAAAATTGTGGGAAGGGAGAGAGGATAATAGGATATGTATTTAGAATAGGATAAGGTAATGGAGAGAGGATAAGATGAGGAATATATATTAAAAGCAGGGAAGGGAAAGACAGAGAAAGAGAGAAACAAATGTCTGTTTAAAGAGATATATCGAATTTGTTGTGATGGGACAAAGAGAGTGAAAGAAAAAAACACACACACACATACATACATACATATATATATATATATATATATATATATATATATATATATATATATATATATTAAAAAAGAAGGTGCCGCAAACGTTTTGGTTTAATGTGGATTTATTGAGAAAAAATATTATACTTTGTTTTACATAATTTCACGTGTTTCACGTGTCTTTCTGGTCACATACGCACATACAAATAAGTACAAATAATTTTTTTTACGAATTCTGCGTATTAAAATAATCTTTTAATTTTTACTTCATGTTATATGTGGAATATTCTCGACAGGAATTCACGCCAAAATAGAAACAGATCCAAGAAATAAAGTAATGCTAGAGGTCACTAAAACATTAAAAGATTAAATGCCGATAACTATGTTTTGGACAAACCTTAATTGTTTTTTTGACCCTTCACGCAGAACTCTTCATTGACAATTCTAGAAAGAAAATTCGATTGCCAACACACAAAACAGAATGTCTCATATCGAGAATATTCCACATCGAACATGAAGAAAAAATTAATTATTTTAATAATATAAAATTCTCACTTTCACCTGAAGACGGTTGCCGAGACCAGACCAGAAACACGTGTCGTGAAATTATGTAAACAAAGTATAATATTTTTTCTCAATAAATCCACATTACAACCAAAAAAACGTTTGCGGCACCCTCTTCTTTTTAATATACATACTTTTCTCTCGTTGGAACCACTACAACATATTTCTTTTATATATATATATATATAGTTAAACCTAGAAAGCCAGACAAACCTATAGTTAAACATAGAGAGACAGTTTATCTAGGCTTAACTAGGCCTGCTCTACTCATTGTATTGAGCACTTTATTTAGTGGTTTTGGGTACTCGCATCGGGTTTTTTCTTCTTTGATCCTTGACCTCGTATGCTGGACGATTATTTTCGGTTAACATACATGTTCTTGGTTCTTTCTTTTTTTATAACTTTTTTTTCCTTTTGTATTGGCTTGTTTATTGGCAGATCAAGACACCGAAGGTTTTCCGAGCGAGTATAGTTTCTTATACTTATAAGATTTTTATTAATAATAATAATATATATATATATATATATATATATATATATATATATATATATATATATATATAAAATAAAATAAAATTATAATATAACATTATATAACATAGTTATGTTATAATTTTTTAAATAATTATATGACATATTTATGTTATAATTTTTTTAAATAATTATATCCGCTCTACTTTGTATTGAGCACTCTTTTAAGAATAGTAATTGTTGGTTATTCGAATTCATTCCGAATATACCAATTATATATTAAGTATAAATATATATATATATATATATATATATATATATATATATATATATATATATATATATATATATAAAAGTAATTTATAGAAGTCAACACTTAGAGGCGACAGTCTGTTTCATGCTATATGCAATCGTGGCCTGACGATTGCATATAGCATGAAACAGACTGTCGCCTCTAGGTGTTGACTTCTATGTTCTATTTTTATATTTACACACACTCTATAGATATAGCACACCTTAAGACTATATTTCTTTATATATATATATATATATATATATATATATATAATATTCACTGTATAATGTTTGATATATGTCATTAAAGGAGGAAATGGATTAAGTGCATCGACAAGGAAGGGAATTATGGTGAAAAATTGAATATTTGTAGCACCAAATAAATGTTCTTATTCACTAGTAGACGACCGATTTATTGACACCATCTAAATGTATAAATATTTCCCAGAGTATATTTGTAAGCATGCGCGACATTCTCGCGCATTTTGTCGGATATTATAAGCAACATCATTTCATATGCGTTAAAATACACGCAGGTATGGGTAACAGGACGGACATATTTCTCTATGAGTTATTCTGCCGTTGTTAGCTGTTTTCGAAGATATCGATGCCGAAGATGCTGTTACATGTTTATGCACACATACGCATATGAACATGGTGAGTTGGAAGAAATGTCACTCCTGCGTTGTTAGACGCGGTCTATTTAATGAAATAATTAAAACTGTTGTCTTCTCGAAACTACAGATATGCAAGACCGTCCTCAAGGGAATTATGTCAAAGCCAATGACGCCAACTTGGATTGCCAGTGAGCCGAAGAGAGAAACAGCGCTCAAATTTAATTAGATATTAATGATATACATGAAACAAATGAGCAAGTCCAAACTATATATATATATATATATATATATAAATGTGTATATATATATATATATATATAAATGTGTGTATATATGTGTATATATATATGTGTGTGTGTGTGTGTGTGTGTGTGTGTGTGTGTGTGTGTTGTGTGGGTGTGTTTGTGTGTTGCTACAAACCTTATTTTTAGTGCGTACACATATTTGAATTGCTATCACTATAATTGTGCCAAACAGTAAATTCGTTGTTTCGGAAAACAAAATGGCGCAGCAGCTTATATTACCATGCGGTCATCTATCTAGGTACTGACCAGGCTAAACGTTGCTTAACTTTGATGATCGTTAGAGAATCAGTGTAATATTTAATATGGCTGGGAGTAGAAGACCGTTAGAAATGGAGAAAAATAAACAAGGAACTTTCGTTAATCGGTATGAAATATATACCCAACCATGCACCCATACACACATATATATACAAACATAATCTCACACACACACACACACACACATATATATATATATATATATATATATATATATATATATATATATATATATATAAAATATATATATATATATATAGTGTCATTGGTAAATTGTCGCAGTTTTATATTTTTAATTTCACGCATGCGCGTTGTTTGTTTTTGATTTGTCGACTGCACCACATCGTAAGGTCAGTTAGACGCCGTTGGACGCATAGTAGGGTCAGTTGAACGCCGTCAGTGAGGAAAAGAAAGAGTATCATGATGCAATTCATAGATGCTTACATTCATAAATTCTAGGAAACCATAGAAGAAAGTGCCTCAGAAAAATTACAATGGAAATATTTATAGAAAAGGCACAGAGAAGCGACATTATGGCGATGAGAAAGGTATTAGACCCTAGATGCCATGTCAGATACAATAACATTGCCTATTATTATTTGAATTCTTCAAGGAATCTCTAATGACCATTTGTGGCAGCAATATTCAAAATATGGACGAATGGTAAACTTATAAATATGTAAGATACAGGGTGCGATGCCTAAGTTGTCGCCATGTTACATTTTTTAAATTTCGCGCATGCGCGTTGTTTGTTTTTTTTAATTTTTATTTTGTCGACTGCACAGTATTGTAGCGTCAGTTGGGCACCGAGAAAAAGAGCAGCAGGACTCAATTCACTCCGCCCTGACATTCGCACCGGAAACCCCAATACAAACAGTTCAGAGAGTTTGGGTTTCAATCTGATGCAGAGGATTCGGAAAGAGTTGGATGAGTCCAGTGGAGATTACGAAGGTGTTTGGAGGGATCACTAGTGATAGTGATGTTATTCTTTTGCCATTCTTTTTCCCACATAACCTCAGAAGCAACACGGAGGCCTATAACAAGGACCTTAAAAGTTAGATGCTTGAAGACCCTATGTCTGACAACAGGACCCTCCACCATGCCACACAATCAAGAGACCCAGTTTGGGCTGTCAGACAATTTGTGTAACCTTACATCTGTCCACTTAACTCACCAGACTGCAATCGCCTTGTGGGGCGCAGTTGAGCGAGAGACCATCAAAAAATCTTTATAACACCAAAGACGAACTGAAGGCAAGGACTATGGCAACATTCACCAACTTAAGAAAGCAGCCCGTCTAGATGAGTTGCGAGAGATCCGAAGTCTTCTGCAGACCGTAGTTGAAGGTAATTTTGATTTTAAATAAATGATTTAATCTTGAGTATTTTCAAGATATTTTAACAATATTAGCAATGTTATTGATAATATTTATTATAGATATATGATATAAATTATATATGAGTCGTTCTTGTAACTAAATAGCACTGCGAT